TCATCCAAGTCTACCCTGACTCGAAGCCTGATCTGTTTACCTGTCTCAAGTCACAATGTCACTCAAGCGAGGCAGGGAATGCACTCCCACCGAAAAATACTCTATTCTATTTTCAAAGGAGTCCAGCCTTAGCAAACGTTTTCCGTGTATTGAGCATATCTATCTTACTGAGTTCCTTGAGGGCAGGGATGACCACCGTCCACACGTGGCAATTAGAACAAAGGCTGGTGATCTGGAAATAAGAACCATTTCTTGCCTAGAGGAACCGTAACCGTCCCCCTTCTTTCTATCCCTGCCATCTGGGTGTGAATTGACCAGATGAAACTCTATTGGTCACTCAGATGAGGTTTCCCTGAGTTCCCTGACTAACCTGTGGCTGCCACAGGGGAGCAGGGATAATGAAACCCATAGATTACCTGAAAGTGCTGTAGCTAAAGCTTTGGCAAAAGCTACAGTTAATGCACAGAATGGGCTGGCCGCTATCAGTGTGGATAGCAGAACCAAAAATCAAAGGAATACCCAATCCAAAACCTTCCCCTAATAAAGACAGAAATTTCACTAGGAAAGCGAAGTAGCCAAGGCCTAGCTGATCCTCTAAAATGGTCCACAGGCCTCCGAACAACCAGACTGTGCTCTCTCAGGGAAAGACCAGTGGCCAGGGCCCCTGGCAGGGTGCTGGAGATGCCTCGCTCTGAGAGCTTAGGACGGATTGTCTACAGAGATGTGGACAGGCTTAAGGGAACCAAGCAGGAACAGCAAAGCATCCAGGGATCCGCAGCAGCTGGGCCTGAAGCACGGAGTGGGAGAGACGGGGGACTCTGAAAAGATGTGGAGCTGAGAGGAAGGAGCCGCTTGAGCCACTGTGCTTGGGAGAGAAGCAGAGCTATTGCCCAGCCATAGTGCAGAAGGGAGGGAGCCTGGGGGTGAACACTCCAGCCTCTTCCTCCTCCCACCCTCCCATCCCAGGCTGGTGCTCCCCTTGGTTGATCCCAACCAGAAAGTCAATGGAGGAGCAGTCCAGAAGGGCAGTCTGGAGAGGTAGCCTTAGGGTACAGAGCTCAGAGGAGGTGGCAAGAGACTAAATTTGGAGAGACAAATGTGACTTATTCAGCCACCAACCCAGTGAATCATTAACTTTTTTTTTTTTAAAAAAAGAAGTATTTATTTAATTTCATGTATTTATTTTTATTTTATTTGATTTTAGATTTTTGCTAGGGTGCATGCACTTGCCACCGTAGAGACAGAGAGACATAAAAAGTCAGAAATCACCCCCCAGGGGGGATGGTCATGCCGCAATCTCTTCTCCTTCATTCTCCTCTCGGGATTTTGGGCACATATGCACATGTGCCCAGCATGACTCAAGTCACCAGGTCTAGGACTTGACCCGCTGTCAACTACATGAGAGTCCAGCGATGTAACTTGTTTTGTTTTTGTTTTTGTTTTTTGTTTTTGCCATAGGGCATGTGCACTCACCAGAGAGAGAGAGAAAGGGAAGTGAGAAAGCAAGCTGCCTGGTCCAGGACTCCAACTGTAGTCGGCAATGTGGGAGTCCAGGGCCCCAGCCACCAGACCACCTGCCACCTCTGAGTCATTAACTTTTAATTTCCCATTCCTACATCCCTCAAATACTTATTGGTTGCTCACTGCCTGCCAGATGTGCTAAGTTCTAGCTATGCTGCAAGAGCTTCATAGACCTTGGCCCTACTATCAAGGCAAGCTCTAAAAAAAAAAAAAAAATTGCAGAAATATAATTATCAGTTGGGATACTGCTGTGAGAGAAAAGGAAAGGAACATGTTAGAAGAAGGTCTGATTTCCAGTTGGGGATTGAGAAAGATTTCTCTGGGGATATAACTTGTAAATGAAGCCCTGAGAGATCACTCGATTTAGGCGGGAAAAGGGCAGAGCATTTTCAGAAAAGGAAACAATATGCAAAGACCCAAAGGAGATAGGTACTGTCAAGAGAGTCCTTGGAGCTTAGTAGATGGGAGAGGGAGAAACATAAACGAGGCCAAGGAGGGCCACAGGGTCCAGATCAGACTGCACCCTAAAGGCCATGGTAAGTTTGGGTGTTTTCCCAAGAGCTTCAGGCAGCCACTGGTCCCAAGCCACGAGCCTAGGGCTTCCACTCAGCACAGTGCTGTCATTCTGGGCTCCTCAGCTGGGTCTCTTATGAGCATGAAAGTCAGACCTCAAGCCTGACCTTCCTCCTCCCTCAGCTGCTGAACACCTCCAGGGTACCGAGGCAGGAGTAGGAGGGCACATTAGGCTTTGGACTCATGGAGGCACAGGTGACCCCATCACAGTGTCTTCACTCTAGCACTTCATAAACCTCCACTTTTCTTCATTCTAGACAAGAGAGGGACGTTTATTTTTGGACATTGCTTGGCCCCACACTGCTCACCTCTAGTGTCAGAGTTCTCAAAATGAAGTTCACACAAAAGCAAGCAAAGTCATTTAACACTTTTTAAAACTTAACATTTTTTTAAACTACTAGCAACCTCAGCATTTCTGAGACTGACCAAAAAGCCAAGGGGTCTATGGAGCAACTGGAACTCCTATCCAGTTTTTTGCAGGAGTTCATGCTACTGAAACCACTTGGAAAACTGGCAGCATCTCCAAAACTAAGCATACACACCACTAGGACTCAGCAGTTCTACTCCTGGGTATAAACCTTGGAGAAATTAATGCATATTTCTGCCAAAAGACTTTTACTAGACTATAATGTACTTAGCAGTATTACTCATAATTGCCCCAAACTGGAAAGAACCCACATGTCCACCAACAGTAGAACGGGTGAACAGATAGACAGATAGATAGATAGATGGATAGATAGATAGATAGATAGATAGATAGATAGATAGATAGATAGAGATAGAGATAGAGATAGAGATAGAGATATATGTAAGATTTTTACCATAGGGCATGTGTGCTCACCAGAGAGAAAGGGAAAGTGAGACATCACCCTCCAGGGAGGATGGCCATGTCAAAATCCCTTTCCCACTATTCTCCTCCTGGGATTTTGGGCACGCATGCATATGCACCCAACATGATTTTCAGACCATTGGATCTGGCACTCAAACCATGGTTGGCCATGTGAGAGTCTAGCACCTTAACTACTATGCCACCTGTTGGACCATGATATAGTCTTACAAAAATATATCAGTATAACACAGTAATAAAAAGGAACCAACTACTGAGGACCAGCAGTTAGCATAATGACTATGTCACTGGACTCCCATGTAGTCAACCATGGTTTGAGTCCTGGACCCGGTGGCTTAAACTCACGCTGGGCACGTGTGCGTGTGTGCCCAAGATCCCAAGAGGAGAATGGAGGAGAAGGGATTGCTGCGTGGCCATCCCCCCTGGAGGGTGATTTCTCTCTTTCTGTCTCTCTGTCTCTCTCTCTGTCTTTCTGGCAAGAGCATGCGCCCTATAGCAAAAACCTCTCCAAAAAAAAAAGGAACCAACTACTGACACATGTAACAACATGATGAATCTGGTTCACCTCGTAGGAAGAAAAGCAAGACATTAAGAGCACACATGGGGACCAGCAGTTAGTGTAATGGCTATATTGCTGGACTCCCATGTAGTCAACTGTGGCTCGAGTCCCGGACCCAGTGGCTTAAACTCACGCTGGGCACGTGTGCGTGTGTGCCCAAGATCCCAAGAGGAGAATGGAGGAGAAGGGATTGCTGCGTGGCCATCCCCCCTGGAGGGTGATTTCTCTCTTTCTGTCTCTCTGTCTCTCTCTCTGTCTTTCTGGCAAGAGCATGCGCCCTATAGCAAAAACCTCTCCAAAAAAAAAGAGCACACATGGTACCATTCCATTTATTTGAAATTCCAGAACAGACGAAATTACTCAATGGTGGCAGAAATCAGAATATTGTTCCAGGAGTGGTGGTAGAAGATGATGAGAGAAACTTCTAGCTGCTGGCGAGATTTTGCATCTTGACCCGGACCATATACCTAGGAGTCCATATTTGTCAAAAACTCACTGAATCGTGGGACCAGCAGTTAGCGTAATGACTATGTCGCAGGACTCCCACGTAGTCGACTGTGGTTCGAGTCCCGGACCCAGTGGCTTAAAACTCACGCTGGGCGTATGTGCGTGCGGGCCCAAGATCCCGAGAGGAAGATGGAGGAGAAGGGATTGCGGCGTGACCATCCCCCCTGGGGGGTGATTTCTCGCTTTCTGTCTCTCTTTCTCTTTCTGTCTGTCTGGCAAGCGCACACGCCCTATAGCAAAAACCTCTCCAAAAAAAAAAAAAACCTCACTGAATCGTATTGAAGTTTTAAACTTCATATTTATGTACTTTGGTGTATCTAAACTATGTGCCAATTTAAAATATGGCAGGGCGGTACCTTGCTATTCACCCAGGTTCTCCGGTAGCAATGAAGGAAGGGAAACATCTCCTCTGCTTATCTGCAGGTCAAGGTACAGTCGATGCAGCGTGGAAATGCTTTCAAAACAGACTGTAGTGTTTCTAAACAAAGTTGAATCTGAGCATTCTATCCTTTTGAGCTTCTCAGTCTCGGGCATGGCCTTCATTTTTGCCCTGTCTAAGTACATTGAGGGCTGGCACTGCTCCAGCCCGCTCCACTCCTAACGTGGACAAGGCCTTGGTGTTGCCATCGAGCCCTTCACTGAGCAGCAGCGAGGGAGCCTCCAGACTCAGCCCTGGGCAGGTCCAAGGAAGAGCAGCAGGGCAGCCGAGCATGTGCCTGAAGGAATTAAGCTCAGGAGGCGCCACCGCGTGGTGGTTCCCTGTCATCACTTCCAGGACAGAATCCTTTGGTGACTGAACCTGTAAACTTAGATTACCAGAGCCCTTTCCCAGACTCAAAGTTGGTTTTTCTTTCCTCAAGTCTCACTTAATAAACAGTCCTGCTCCCCGAGCTGGCTTTATGTGCTTATGATAACAGGTTCAAAGTGCCCACGTGCGGCGCCCTATCTGTCCTGCACTGGCCTTTCGAAGGAATCCAAAAGATAAAGCCTGGCTATAAAAGGCCACGGCCAACCTGCCAGGCTGTGAATGGAAGCTCCAGGGCAACACAGTAAGTCATGGCTCCGTGTGGGCAGGGACTTGGCAGGGCTGGGGCAGCGCAGGCTGCCAGAGGGATGTGGCCCAGAAAGGGGAGCCCACCACAGTGGGCTTACTCTGAGTCCATGGTCCCAGTGTGGTGCTGACTCCCTATGCATTGGGAGATCTCAGCTTTGGGGTCCCTACCCAAGAGAGCCTCATGGGTCCCAGGCCACTGGGCTTCAGTTCTTCCCACTGTCCGTGTGTGCTCCAGGCTCCTGCCCTGTCCAGGGTCTGCCACTGGACAGCCCCGCACCCGTGCACACGGCTGTCTGTGTTTTCATCCATATAGATGCTGCTCTCCTGGACCCTCGGCCTTCTTCTGCTGGCCACTGTCAGAGGTGAGAATACTGTCAACCATCCCTTTGGGGAGAAGGTGACATGTGTGGGCTGGCCTTTGGTAAGGCAGCTAAGAGGCTTAGCAATAATGCTTGTAATTAAGAGCATGATTATTACGTCAAGGAAAGGCATCACCGCTGTTCAGGGCCAGCTCTAGGTGAGCACAGGGCAACACACTCGATGTGGGGAACCTCAAGAAGCTTTGGTGTTTGTTCCCTTCTTCCAGTAAAGGCTCTAGCAGTTGAGGGCTACTGGGGCAGGTAGAAAGTGAGGTGTTCTTGTCCGGCCCCCAGGGTCCTCTGTCTCTGTCAACAGACTTAAGCCACGTCGATGTGCCCCGCACGCCGAGAATGCCTGTCCTACCAGGCAGGCCCACTCTCCGGCCATCGCCCTCGCTCTATCCACTCTGTCTTTCCAGCTTGCCCCTCCCATCTGGCTCCAGCCAGAGGAGATATAGGGGTTCAGTTTCTACTTGTTCTAAAATAAAAGTCAGCTCCCTTGTCCCGGAGCACCCTGGACCCCAGCTGGCTTTTTTCCATCCCCACTTCCCCACAGGTGCGTACAGGTGCACTCGCTCACAGAGCCTCTTTCTCTGCCATCAGGACTCCTGACTGCCTGGATGAGCCCCCAAATCCTGCTGTAGCAAGTGCTCCCCAGGAGTGTCATCTGCTTGAGCCCCTGGGTGGTAGTGGGGGGACTTTCTCCTGCATCACAGCTCTTCCCCTTGTGAACATCCTTCCAGGTTCACACGAGGCACTATCATCTGTCTCTTCCTTGGGGTTCCCTCTAACCCACCTCTGGTTCTCCCAAGTTCCAGGAAGCCTGTCCCAAACTCACTGCCCCAAATCAGACTCAGGATGCTCCCTTACCTCTCCTGCCCCCACATCACCTCTGCTGAGTCCCCCCTCACCCTACTCACCTAGAACAGAGTGGCCGTGACCAGAGTGGGCTCTCTCCTCCCCAAGCCCACCACCTCTGTCCTGCCTCCCACCATCACCCATGCCCCCAGGCTCTCTCAGGCTCTCCCACTTCTGAAACAGCTGCACTCGGCTCCCAAAAATAAATTCAAGAAGCACAGGCACCACCACCACCACCACCACCACCCTGACCAGCTCCGCACTCTGGTGCTTCCCACTATCCACCTAAGGGAGCCTGGGTGTCTCAACGTGGCATTCAGACCCTTCACTTGCCATCAGGACCAACGACCCTTCCACCCAGGCAAAAGCAGCCTCCTGGAGCCCTACTGCCAAGAGTGTTTGTCCCCACTTACTGGGCCAGTTCGATGCCAGCCTTATTTCCTCGCTGTCAGATTTCCTTTCTTCCGGGGCAGGATTTGTATCTGATTTGTCTTTGTAACTCCTTAGTTACTAGCAATACTATAATTACACTTCTTGGGCTCAAATCCTGGCTCCACCACTAGCTGTGGCCTTGGGTGGCTGTCTCTCCGTGCCTTGGTTTCCTCGACCGTAAAATGGGCTAATGCTGATTCCTTACTCGTGTCTCGAGACTTAAATGAGAAAATACCAGTAAGGCCCTTGCATGGTGTCTGGCACCTAGAAAGCAAGTGTTGACTAGTGCGGGGCCAGCGGGTGGCATGGCGACTAGTACAACTTTTTGAATGATTGAGCAATGTTTGACACCATCTGTTTCAAAGCTGAGAAAGCCTGAGAGAGAAAACCTATCAGAATCCTTTGGATTTGAAATTATGTCACCTCTCAGAGTCATTTCTTACAATAATGTTTACGTCCTGATAGCGACAGGACTTTTAGACGCAGATGTGGTTATTTGGGCCTTTGGTGACATGTGTTGAGCCCTTGCTGCGTACAGTGTAATCACAAATAAATCATTCCTGTTCCTAAGAAACTTAACCTTGGGGCCAGCAGATGGCCTAACGGTTACGTCGCTGGACTCCCACGTTGTTGACCGCAGTTGGAGTCCAGGACCCGGCGGCTTTAAAAAATTAGGCTGGGTGTGCATGCCCAAAATCCTGAGAGGAGCATGGAGGAGAAGGGATGGTGGCGTGGCCATCCCCCCAGTGGATGATTTCTCGCTTTCTGTGTTTCTGTCTCTCTCGTGAGCACATGTGCCCAATAGCAAAAATCTCTCTTAGAAAAGAAACTTACCTTTTTCTAAGAACAATAGGGTAAGTTGGAAATGGCAGAGAATAATTTGAAGACAAATGTGCATGAAAGGATGACATGAAGACAGGTGAGTTAAATCAGCACTGTGAACGTGTGTTGCATGGCCTGTACCGGATGTCACGGAGATGTCCAGAAGAAGTGAGTGGGATCTCTCTGCCGCAGAGTCAGCAGGCACTTGATAAATACTTGGTGTTTCACGAGTATACGGTAAAGGGCCAGCTGGAAGTTTCTTGAAAGAGGCGCTTCTAAGGCAGCAGGCCATAGATCAGCAACTTCCCCACTTGCCTTGGAATAAGGGCACTTGTTAATAGGCCTGTTCCGGGGCCCCACCCCATCTCTTCTGAATAGAAATTTCTGAGGGAGGGGTAAACACAATACATATTTGCAGCCTGATGACTCATCACCACAGAGGTTCAGGAAACACTGATGGCAAAGATAAAAGCCAGCATTGACCTTTGCTAGAACTGGGCTCCACCCTAAAGAGCCTTCCTGAGTAGTTATGATATTGGTCCCTTCCAGAACCGCACCAATGTCCTGCCTGTGACTCTCCCCGCCCCAGGTAAAGAAATCTGCTATGGACATCTTGGCTGCTTTTCTAATGAAAAACCATGGGCAGAGACCCTTCAGCGGCCTATAAAGTTATTTCCCTGGGACCCTAAGGACATCGACACCCGCTTTCTCCTGTACACGAATGAAAATCCGAACAACTACCAAGTAAGAATGGGCCTGGAGGGACTGTATGGTGGGTATGTTGGGCCCACACTGCAGCCTGCACATGGCTGTCTAGGGCACAAGGCACGGCCTTGGAACTTTCCAGATGTTGTGTTTTCACCAGTGTTAAGCCTACAGCCATCATAGATCTTGGGACCATAAACCCTGAATAGATGATGAAATCTACGGATGCCTAGTGCAGAAATGTAAACAGGCCCACACACAGGTACAGAGAACTTCAGGGGCTACCCCAGCGTCAGACCCTGTTCCCTAGGAGGGCAGCATATGAGCAGCATTTAGGGAGAAATCCAGGCCTGGTGTATCCCAGGGAAAGCCTGAAAGTCCGTCTCCTCTCTACAGTGGAGAGAGAGAAGACCCTCGGGGGCTGTAGTGAGGGGATAGAAATCCTTCCCAGGGAGCTAGAAGACAGGGAGAGAGGGGCTATTTAACCACAAAAGAGGAAAAAAAAAAATGAAGCAAACTTCAGTGCCCAGAAGGCCTGCCAGATGGAAGCCTGAAGGACAGGTGGTTAGACGTGACCGGGAGGAAGTCTGAAGGAAGAACTTACTGAGAATCCCAGCAGCTCACAGCAGGTCCCTGACAGAGTTGAGAGAGCCAGGTCTCTCGATCCATCTCTAGGTCGCTGAAGCCACCCACTCTGGGACTCTGCGTGATAAATTCCCCACTCAGTGCCACCAACCCAGAGTCTGTCTGAACATCGTTATTGTTCTATATTCATTTTGTGATCCTTCTCTGCCATCTTTGAATGAAGACTTGGTGGAGGGGTTCTGAGTGGGCCCACAGGACTTAGGAGCCTATTCTAATGTCTCACAGTTCGGAACTGAATTCCCCCTCAAGCCTAACACCTAAATGTGAGGGGTTCCTCACACTTTCTGTGCCAGGGGCCACTTTGGCCACCTGGGGAAGTCTATGGTCCTCCTTAGGACAATGCTTTTAAATTCATAAAACAAAAGATGTTAGACTACAAAAGAAATCAATTATATTGAGAAACAGTTGTCGGAACATTATGTGATACAGTAAAATGTGTGTGGCTTTGTTAACTCACCAGCAAGATCTGGGGGCTGGTCTGGTAACTTCTGTAGTTTAAAACAGTAATGAGTAGAAATGACATTTCTAGATATATGCAATAACTCTACTGTGACATGAAAACATCTTGACTTCTATTGGGGACAGGTCACAGGTATTGCTAATTCCACTATGGTTTATTGCCTAATTCCATGATTAACAGAAATAAGAAATTTCGGTTCAGAGTTAATAAAAGCAGAAAGCCCAAGAGCGTGGAAAACAGACAGTCCATGGACTTGGACTTCCTGGATTCTACCCACAATCCCCGGTCAGAAATGCCTCCTGGTCTGCTCCAACTTCATGGGAGTAGAACCTGTGATCTCGGTCTGGCTGGGACTAGCTCGAACAGTCCGTGGCTTGGAAAGGTCAACATTCAAGCGCATCTTTTCTATTTAACCCAGCTGATCACTGCCACTGACCCAGCTACCATTGAAGCTTCAAACTTCCAACTGGACCGCAAGACACGCTTCATCATCCACGGCTTCATAGACAAGGGGGAGGAGAGCTGGCTGTCAGACATGTGCAAGGTAGGGGCCCACCCTCCTCCCCTGACCACTTCCCAGTGAGACCAGGACCCAGCGTACAGGCCCGAGCTCTGCATCCCCACTGCATGCTCTCTGGAGAGATAAGTCCTTCCTAAAGTCACCGAGGAAAACCTGGTCCTTGGGGACATCCATTGCCAAGTTCTCCCTACCCACCAACTTCTTTGTTTTTTAAAAAAGAGATTTGTACTATAGGGTGTATGCACCCACCAGAGACAGAGAGGGAGAGAGAGAGACAGAGAGAGAGAGAGAGGGAGGGAGAGAGAGATAGAAAGTGAGAAATCACCCCCCAGGGGAAGATGCCCACACCATAATCCCTTCTCTTCCATTCTCCTCTTGGGGTTTTGGGCACACACACGCACATGCCCAGTGTGAGTTTCAAACCACAGAGTCCTGGACTCAAACCATGGTCAGCCATGTGGGAGTCCAGCACTCCAATCACTACACCAGCTGCTGACCCCCTGCCCACCAACCTCTAACCAACCATCACCACTGATGCTGAAGAGACCCAGAGCCCAGTGAGAAAGTGCTGAGGGTAGCCTTCCCAGCCCTCAGCAAACCACGTGGTATTTGCTTCGGATGGTCGATATAAAACCCCTGTGTGTGCTCGCTTCAGCCGCATGAATACTAGCCCCTGTGTGACACGGAAAGCAATTACGGGTTATTCTCAAAAGCCCTGCTCTCCCTAGAGCGCTCTCAGTGTGAATAACGTGCTACACCTGCGCTGTCCGAATTGGGAGCCTAGCCATACATGGTTATTGAGTGCTTGGAGTGTGGTGAGTGCAGGCGAGAAGCTAAATTTTAGGTCGTGCTGAGTGGTAGTTTGCTGCTCCCCTGGTCTAGAAAGTGATCTGACTTGATAATCATCTGCAAGACCTTGGACAAGTCACTTTCCCATCCCAGGCGTCTGTTAGGCAAGTCTAAGTATAGCGAGTTCTTGCTGCAGAGAGGATTGAGTTACAACTCTCGTGAAGATGAAGGCGCTGACACAGGCTAGGTGCTCAACGGATGTGAATTCCTATCTCTGGGGTGTGCGCCTCGTGGCTATTTAAAAACTGCTGTCTCCCCCTGTTTGTCTCCCTCAGAAAATGTTCCAAGTGGAAAAGATAAACTGCATCTGTGTGGACTGGAGACGCGGGGCCCGGACGATGTACACCCAGGCGGTCAACAACATCCGGGTGGTGGGGGCGGAGATAGCCTTCCTCGTGCAAGTGCTGTCGGTAAAAGCCCGCTGCGGAGCGTGCGGGTCGGGCGGAGAGAGGGGGCGGGGGAGCCCCGCGCTGCACCCAGAGGCAGCCTGGGGACAGGCAGGCAGGGAGCGGGGCTGCAAGTCAGGTAGCCCAGGTCCTTAGGACCCGCCTAAGACGAAGCTGCAGCCTTGCTCCCTTGCAGATTGTCCTGAAGACACCACAGCACCACCCTTTCCAGGCCGTGGGACTGGGGCAAACCTTTCGAGCCGCAGTTTCCCCTTTCGCACTTAGGCCTCCATGGCAGGCTGCTCTGCAGTGAGAGCAGGAAGGGCTGACCGGCAGTTCCTAGGTCACAGGATGTTCTCCGTCCTCAGACAGGACGACAGAAAGCTCCTTGCGTCCTACTGTAAGAGCTGTTCTGTTCTGGAGGACCCCTAGCTGGGACTCACTACTCACGCTTTCCCCCTCGGGTCCCACCCCTGCCTGGGAAGCCCATGGGGTGGGTGGCGGCAGCAGCGTGGTGGTGCCCCGGCCCAGGCGACCTGCAGTTGGCGAGGTGGCCGCTGGTCAGCACTGTTGCCTCGCGCAGGAACCCGCCCGGGGACTCGCAGACTCGCAGACAGCACGCTCGCGCTGTCGTAAGCGGCTCCTGCAGCCCGGCGCCACCCCAGGCACAACCCGTGCACTATCTAGGACCGGCGGGTCCCCACCTGGCCCCGTGGGACCTGACGCGTTATCCCTCTGCAGACGGAGCTGGGGTACAGCCCGGAGGACGTGCACCTCATCGGCCACAGTCTCGGTGCACACGCGGCCGCGGAGGCGGGCAGAAGGCTGGGGGGCCGCGTGGGCAGGATCACAGGTAGGGGTCGCAGGGCCAGCGCGGATCCCAAGACTCGGGTGCGGCAACCGAAGCTGCGATGATCAGTTCACTTCCTATGGCGAAGGGCGCCCCTACTGGCACTAGGGGAGCAGTTTGTCTTTTTGGGGGGAGAGGTTTTTGCTTAGGGAGCCTGCGCTCGCCTGACAGACAGAGACAGAGTGATAGAAAGTGAGAAATCACCCCTAGGGGGGATGGCCACGTCATAATCCCTTCTCCATTCTCCTCTCAGGATCTTGAGCAGGCACGCACAAGCACCCGGAGTGAGTTAAAGCTACCGGGTCCAGGACTCCAACCGCAGCATTCTTCGTGGGAGTCCAGCGACACAGCCATTACGCTAACTCTTAGTCCCTCGGGGAGCAGATTTTAGATGATGAAGGATTTGTATTTTAAAACAATTGTCCATATATTTTAACGTATATTGGAAAATAGGTATTTATAAATCAAAACACATTTATAAAAATATATAACTAGCACAGTAAGGCTGTACCTTCAGGGTTAGTTTGCTCCATCTGGCAAAGTAAAAAGGAAGCTGATTTTTAAAAAATCATCAGTTCTACATATAATTTATGTAGAACATGCAGTGTCTTCGCTGTGCCAGGCACAGGAGGAAAATCCAAGTGGCTGAGGCCTGCCACACAGAAGATGCTCAGTAAATGCTGAAGGGCCCAGTGACTCAGTAGGCAGAGGGACTGCACAGACAGACACACACAGCTGTCTCGTGCAGCCGCACCAGTACCTAATTCCAGCCAGCAGTTGAGTCGTCAGTTAGCAAGTGTCTCCTTGTTCAAGGCACTGTGCCAGGCACTGGGCGAAGGATTGGAGTTCATACTTACGTGGGCCTTTTCAGTTTGCAAAGTCCTTTTTTACATCTTTTCAACGGGTTTTCACAAATACTCTGGAAAGTAGCAGTTGCCTTTATTCCCACTTTCTGGATGAGGAAACAAGCTCAGACATTTGGCCTTGAGGAGAGCAGGGAGGAGTAGGGGTCGCTATGGCCACACTCCTCTCACCTCTGCTTCTTCCGGACGATACATTGGGCACAGCCCTTGATTCAGGAAAGCCACCTTCTAGCCCAGGAGGCAGACAATGACGTGGGGAAATAAAATGAGTAAATGCAGAATTAGTAAATGCAAAACAATACTGCATGGAGGGAGTGGGTTTGAGCTGGGAATTGGAGGAGAAAGATTTAGAGAAAGGAAGATGGCAGAGAAGGTGCAGCAGGCTGGGAGCGGCATTAGCAACGACACAGGAATGGAGGCGGGGGCCCAGGGTCCGCGGGGGAGCTGGGGAAGGCCAGGGAGCTGGCGGTCCCTGAAGGCATGGCCAAATGGTAGCATGTGTGAGGAGAAAAGGAAAAGGGAGTTGAAGGAGACTAGAGATCCACATGGAGCCTCCATGGAGCCAGGCACTAGAGGTTTCCAGAATGCTCTTTGATGGCATGGACCCCATTCCTAGGCTTTCTGGCCTCGCTTCTCCCACTCCCCCTCCCCACCCCCCACTCCCCCTGCACACCAGCAGCTGGAGGCCCCTTTCCCTGAACTATGGGTGCTGTATGAAATTCCAGCCCCTTGCCCAGGAATTCTCATCTCAGTTTGGGGGTACAGGATTTGGATCTGATTTTTCTTAGCATGCAGCCTGCCTGTCCACCTCCTCCTTTTCAGGGCTGGATCCAGCAGAGCCGTGCTTCCAGGGCACGCCTGAGGAGGTTCGACTGGACCCATCTGATGCCCTGTTTGTGGATGTGATCCACACAGATGCTGCCCCCATAATCCCTTTCCTAGGTGAGTCCCTCAGTCGCACCTCCTGGTGACCAGAGCTATAACTGATGACATTGGGTCCAGGTGTTACACACACACACACACACACACACACTCTCACACTCAGAGTACAAGAGGCTATTCAGAATGGCTAATGACAGGAATGGATTGAGCAACAACCAGCCAAAATGGCTGCCAGCCAAACATGCAACCACTACAGAGCCAGCGGTTATCAGCCTGTGGGCCCAGGTAGGACAAAAATCCTTCCGTGGTCCATGCAAGCAGTGCTCAGTCTTCAAATCCTGCATCCTGTCCAGTCCACTGGACAGGATTCAAAATGGCAGATGTATTTATTATTGATTCTTACCTGTACTTGCAAAATACAAAGTTTCGTTTTTCTTCTTTAGTCAAAGCTTTGGTTATAGTTTGTCTTATTAGACATTCAATAGATCCTTTTATTTGGTTCTTCTACAATCAATGTTCTTTCCCCAACATTGTCTTCTAAAAACCACTCATGAAACTTGCCAGCGAAGGGTACATTCGAAATGAAATGATGACGCTCTCACTTGTTGAGTGTGTACCAGGCACGGCACTGAATATTTTGCACACGTTAGCTCATTTATCTTGTAACACCCTAAAAAGTGGGTCTATTATCACCATCTCATAGCTCGGGAACTGAGGTGCAATGAAGATAAGTAATTGCTCAAGGTCAGAAAGTCTGTAAATAAACCAGGATTTGGTCATAGGTCTGTGTGCCTCAAAAGCCAGAGATGCTATGCTATGATTTGCTGTCATGCATTCTCTCTCTCTCTCTCTCTCTTTCTTCTCTCTCTCTTTCTCTCTCTCTAGTTATATATAACTATAGGGTTTCAATATAATAATATAATGTAGAAATCAAAATTTGAAAAGTAACAGAATAACAGAATTACCCTAGTCCTGACGTGGTACCAGGGGATATCAGTACTGTGCAGGGCCTCCCTGAGACAGATACACCCGCAAATTCGTGTGCGCACACCCAGCCTGAGCCCACCTTCTTCCCCATCTCACATCCTCTGCTCTCTCCTTCCCCTTGGCTTGCCAAGCATCCCTGTCTGAGAACTTTCTGTGACCTGGAGAAAGTGGTGACGGTGCTGGGGGGAGAATTAGCTGAGAAGGCTCTTGCACTGATTGGAACAAGTTGAATGTCTCACTGTGATCATGACCTAAAGTTGGGCCCACTTGTCCCTTGCCTTTCTTACCTCTGCTTCAAATGTTTCAGGGTTTGGAATGAGCCAAAAGGTGGGCCACCTGGATTTCTTTCCAAATGGAGGGAAGCAAATGCCTGGATGTAATAAAAATATCCTTTCAACCATTGTTGACATCAATGGAATATGGGAAGGTACGTACGTTACAGAAGTAGGACAGCAATGGCTCTATTTCAGGAGACAACAGAACGTGCAGGCTGGCCTTCCGAATACAGAACTTGCCACCATTTTTAGAGTACTTACTCTGGGTCAGGCATTTTCACAACGATTCAATGAGATAGTTATTCCGATTAGACCCACTTTACAGATGAGGAAACTGGGCCTTGGACGAGCTACATAACTTGTCCAAGGTCACCTTATATTTACTTAAACCCAATTTCCAGCTGCAAAGCTCTGTTCTCATGCCCCAGGCTGTGCCATCTCCCCAGTGATCAGGATGTTAGGACAAGAGCTGGACTGGCATGGTGGCAAACCCCCAGCTCTGGCTGTGGCCACCCATCTGCCTTTCAGCACCTGCTCCTTGAAGACTACAGAGTGTAATCAAAGGTTTGAAGCACACTGACTTTCTTGCTGTTTGCTGTTGTCAGGTCCTGAGAATGGACAGGGCCTGGGTGAGAAGAAAACAGGAAGGCTATGCTTTGTGGGTTTGGGAAGTGCTTGGGGGGAGGACTAGGGGCCCATGGTGGTGCCTGGAGAGCCTTGTGTATATTTCTGTCCCTCTGAGGCAGCTGGATCCCTACCCCTAATGCTAGGTGACTTCGAACAACCCTCCCATTAACTGCCTCCTTGTTTGGCCCTTTGACTGTACCTGTCACCCCTCCGTTGAGTCCAAGCTTCACTCTTCTGAAAGTGGAAGCTTGGCATCTAGGATCATTTTATTTCAGTCTTTATTTTCTGAACTGGGGTTCCTTAAAGCTAATGTCTGTGTCTTGGGCATTCCAGACCCCCAGTGCCCAGTGCTCAGGGCCTAGCCTGCATTGCACTGTTAGAGTTGACTGCCCATGTGGCATTTTAATAATCCATGTGATTCAAGTCAAAGAGCAGATTCGATAAAGCACCAGCCAGCATCCACCGGCAAAGAAACGGAGCTTTTGACCTCTCAGCTCCGTACCAGGTAACCCTGGGAAGACGTGGCAGTTCTGCACTCCCTGAAAGAACACCAAGGTCGCAATTATAGCTGCCCCCTCCCAGAAATGACGGGCTCAGCTTTAATTAAACAGGCAATTTTGAGTGAACAAGTCCATGAGCACTAGAGTGTGTTTCTATTGTGTCGAGCTCCAAGTCACCCAGGCCCTGGGCACTGAGGAACAATTAAATCCACTTTCTCCTCTATTATGGGGTCCCTGGGCAGCAATTTTAGATGAAAGAAACAATTCAGTTCGAAACAGGTTCTGCTGTCTGGTGATGAGCGCTGGTGCAGGCGCACGGAATTGGCCTCAGCTGGAAGTCGCTGGGCCGTGGGGCACAGCAGGGAGGGAGCTGTGGACAGCAAGTCCACCCTGGGCACAAAAGAAATGTGCCTTTCTCAATGGGTGGTTGGTGCAGCCCCCCAGGCCCCACGGAGGGATCCTCGGCTATGTTCAGAATCACTGTGGATTACTCCGTGGGGAGGTTTGTACCAAGTAACCAGAGAAATGAAACAATTTTCCAAACAAGAAGATGATGGTGTAAAGAAAAAAGTGGCAAATGAAAAGCAGGGACCTTGTTCTCCATGACTCTTGCTTGTGCTCAGAATAGGGAAGAGGAGGATTCGCTCAGCCTGCAGCTCCATGGGAAGGGCCTGTCCAGTGTAGCCAGAGTTCTCAAACCATGGCCCACCATGGCCCGTGGGTAGCATGCAACCCGCAGCAGTATTTGATGGGCCTACAGGGTGGCTCTTTCAGGAATGGGAATTGCTGCTCTCATTTAAGCATGCAACAATTTTCTTATAAAAGTTAAGATTCCAGCTGCCATGCAAAATCAGAAGACCATGCAATCTGAGCCTTCAGTGTGTGACAGCTGCTGGGTTGTGTAGGATCCCTCTTAAAAACTATTGCTCTCCTCTCTCTGTGTCACCATCCACCCCTCCCTGCTCCCTGCTCTTCTTCCCCTGGAGGACTGGCCAAATGGCTTGTTAGAACTATCGTTCCTCCACTATCATACCTCGCCCTGAGCTGGCCCTCCTTAGCATATGGACACAGCAGCGGGGAAAGGAAAAGGTCTCTGACCCTCCCCACCCTTTCAGAACAGTGCCCAAATTTACTGATGGCCCCAGAGTACGTCAAAGTCTATAACAGAAACTACAAATTGTTACCAAGGCATTTAGGAGTGCTGACACCCACTGGCTGAGATGTGGTGGCGATTTTCCAGAATGGTTCACACTTCCAAGGTGAAAGGCCTCCTTCGTGCTCCTTGCTTTCTCAGGAACCCGCGACTTCGCAGCCTGCAATCACTTACGAAGCTACAAGTATTACTCAAGCAGTATCCTCAGCCCAGATGGCTTCCTGGGCTACCCCTGTAGCTCCTATGAGAAGTTTCAAGAGGTAGGTCACACCAGCAGCCCAGGAAGCTGCTCTGGGTAGCCCTGTCGGTGATGGTTTTGCTCCTATGGCTTAAACAGAACAGAGATGTAGCTCTGCAACTAATGAGAGGAGGTCATGGAACTTTTGAGTCTCACAAAGCCTTCTTCCTCCAAAGAGCTAGGTGGTCAAAGCAGAGACAGCACAGTCCTAACAGTGATGGAACATCCCCAAGGTCCCCAGCTCTTCATTTAGGAAAATGTCCAGTCTACACAGAAGGTGAAAGAACACAATAGAAAACTGCACACTCATCCCTTAGTCACACCCATCGCTTAGTTGCACCCATGGCTGACATTTTATATATGTGCCTGTGTGCACAGTGAGCCTTCCATCCCTGCAGTTCTGCAGCCACTGGGATCAACCAGCGGCAGATCCAAAACATTGTATTGTTGTTGACGTGTGCTATGTAGTGAGGCGTAGGAGGGTGGCACCTATACTGAAAATGTAGGCATTTTTGCTTATCTTTATTCTCTACACAATCCAGTGTAAGAACTACTTAATAACGTTTGCATTTATTAGGTACGATAAGTTATCAAGAAGTGATTTAAAGCACACGGGAGAATATGCACAGGGTATATGCAATCACTACATCATTTATATAAAAGACTTGAGCATCCAGAGATTTTCATGTCTGTGTTGGGGGAGGGGTCCTAGAATGAATCTCCTGTGGAGACTGAGGGTTGACTGTGTACTTTTTATCAAAATCGTGTGAAAGTTAAAGATATCGTTATACATTGCTCAGAAATACTTCGGCATTCATCTCCGAAGAACAAGACCATTCTATGGGACAACATGGAGAAATATAACTTTGATACACTAATATGTTCTAATATACATATTCAACCTTTGCCAATTGTCCAAATGCCCTCTGCCTTTCCGCCTGCCTGCCTTCCTTCCTTCATTTCTTCTTCCTTCTTTCCTACACTCCTTTTTCTTGTATTGTATTTATTGTCTTTTTAGTCTCTTTTAATCTGGAAGAGTTTCTCATTTTTTCTTGACCTTCTAGGACATTGACAGTTATGAGGATTCCAGACCAGATATTTAATAGAATATCTCGCATTCTGAAATGGTTTGATTATATCTTTGTGATTCAGTGATGATGTTCTTCTTAATGTATCACTACCAAAGGCATTTATTCAATGGCACTTCATCCATTATTTGATGACATCAACTTGGATTACTTCGTTAAGGTGTATCTGTCAGCTTTCTCCATTGTAAAACTACTATTAGTAATCTACTAGTTGATATTGTTCCCCAACAAAAAAACTCATTGAAGGGCTGGCCATGTAGCACAGTGGTTAGGCACTGTGCACTGAAAGCCAGATCCCACATGGCCACCTGCAGTTTGAATCCCAGCCCTGGTGGCTTCAATAACATACCAGGCACATGTGTGTGCATGCCCAAAATTCTGACAGGATGGAGATATGGAGGAAAAAGGATTATAGTGTGACCATGCCCAATTGAGAGGTGCTTTCTTGAAAACAGAACAAAGTAAAAACAAAAAAGAAAAGCAAAACATAAACAAGCATAAACAATGAAAGTTTGAATTTCTGTTGATGATCCTTACCCAAGGATCATCAACCAGTTATGTCATAACTGGTTTGGGTAAGGATATTTTTTTGATCAAAGATAAAAAAAAAAGTTTGAATTCTCAGTTTTTCCCTTCCAAAATTAATATCAACCTTGACATTCTCAGTACAACTAATATCAAAAGACCGTCATATTAAATACCCAAGGTCAGTGATCATTCAGTTACTAGCCTTGGCTGTGCTAATAATTGTCGGGGCATAGATAATCATATGGCCTCCAGCGCTTGTCTTATGGCTTCCAAATTGCAAAATAGTGCACACCATGGATTGTGGACATAGTCGGAGGTCAGAGAACAGAGGACAGTGGTGCTGTGGCAAAGTACTAACCTGATTCGAAGGGGATGAATTGCTTCCTCTGGCCCAATTAATGAACTACCATTTGGGGGCCAATTAGTGTGGAGAAATCATTTAGATTAAAGTGAAAATGATCATGAATCTTCTCTTCCTTTCTTTTTTAGAAATAACTTATTATCTGTCCCATTTACTTCTCCCTAAAGACATTATCTTGCATTCTCCTTTCGTGTTTTAATTTCACTGCTTCCTAGGTATGACCTGTCTCCCCAGTTGTACTCTTAAGTTGTGAGGAAGGACACAAGGGTAGGTAGGTGCGTGCATAGATCAATGTGTGAGTGGGAGAATGTATAGATGAATGGAAGAATGAGGGAAGGATAGATGGGTAGATGGATGGTTGGATCGGTAGATTGAAGGATGAATGAGTAGATGGATGGATGGATGAATAGATGGTAGATAGATAATGCTTGGGAATATTATTGAATTGAGTTGACGGCCTACAACTAACAGACAAATTATGTATTTTTTCCACTAGAATGGCTGTTTTCCTTGTCCAAGTGAAGGATGCCCCAAAATGGGGCACTATGCTGACCAGTTTAAGGGGAAAACCAGTGCTGTGGGACAAACCTTTTTCCTAAACACAGGAGAGAGTGGTAACTTTACTAGTAAGTTTCCATTTTACTCACTTAAAAATATGGGACCAGGAGGTGATATAGTAATTAAGGTGCTGGACTCCCAAGTGGCTGACTGTAGTTCAAGTCCCAGACCCAGCTGCTTAAAACTCACACCAGGCATGTGCCCAAAATCCCAAGAGGAGAATGAAAGAGAAGGAATTTCAGAGTGCCCATCCACCCTGGGGAGTGATTTCTTGATTTCTGTCTCTTTGTCTTTCTGGTGAGTGCACACACCCTATAGCAAAAATCTTGGAAAAATAAATCTTGTACATAATTTTTTTATTAGCACATTTTTAAAGTTTACACTCCATATTTGTAAACATTTATAATACACAATACAGTTTTTCAACATAACTATGTATTACAGACAAAACAAGGATATTATCACATACATCATTTTTAATAGAGAACTTTACATTCTTTTGGCTGTTAAATGTTTCTTCTCTTTGCCACTCCCACCCACTCTCTACCATCCACTCTTATCTTTTACATTCTCTGGTATCTACACTTATTTTCTCTATTATCGTATCTTTAGATATTTCCATTTCTGCCATAAAGTACAGACATTCCATACATATTGAATGAGGACATACAGTGTGTGTCTTTCAAAGTCTGGCTCACTTCACTTAGCATTCAGTCTTCTGTATTCATCACTTTAAATCAAATGACAGGATCATATTGTTTCTTATGGCTGAGTAATGTTCCATAGTATATATGTGCCACAATCTTTCAACCCTTTCATCAGTTCTCGGATATTTAGGTTGATTTCATGTCTTAGCAATTGTGAAAAATGCTGCAATAAACATGGATGTCTTACGCATAATTTTAAAAGGTGTACCAGCTTTTTTAGTCAGAACTCTTGATAACAACTGATAGAAAACTCAGCTATAAACAGCTTAAGCTGTAATGTTAAGGACAGTAGGTTGGCATTTGTCTTACGTTTTACGTTTATCTCTTTAACCAATAATTCTGATCAGCGGAGTAAAGTATTATGTCATCAGCAAAGTCATGATGTATTTTCTATGCAAAAATGCATCATGGCTTTTCTTTTCTTTTCTTTTTTTTTTTTTTTTGAGAGGTTTTCACTATAGGGCGCGTGTGCTCGCCAGACAGACAGAGAGAGACAGAGAGACAGAAAGCGAGAAATCACCCCCCAGAGGGATGGTCACGCCGCAATCCCTTCTCCTCCATTCTCCTCTGAGGATCTTGGGCATGCATGCACATGCGCCCAGCATGAGTTTTAAGCCACCGGGTCTGGGACGCAAACCGCGGTCGACTACGTGGGAGTCCAGTGACACAGCCATTACACTAACTGCTGGTTCCCCATCATGGCTTTTCTGACAACTCAATACAATGATTGGCCCAGGCTAGGTCACATGCAATAGAAGAGGGCAATGTAAGGCCAAGTCATTGTAAGTCAGGAAGTCAACATAGTGCTGATCATCTGTCATACTAGCTCTCCTACATATACGAACACATACATGCACACAAACACACACTCACACACACTTTCTGATGTTGTTATTTCACCCGATTTCTCATTTAAAAGATAGTAAAATCATCAGGACTCATTTATAATAAATAGTAGGAAATAATGACTGGAGAAAGCAGCAACTAGGTTCCAAAGGAGTTTTAAATTTAAAAAAAAAAAAAAAAAAATCAGGGACCAGCAGATGGTGTAGTGATTACGTCACTGGACTCCTGCATGGTGACTATAGTTCAAGTCCCAGACCTGCCCAGAGGCTTGAAACTCACACTGGGTGTGTGTGCGTACATGCCCAAGATCTCAGGAGGAGAAGGGATTGTGGCGTGGCCATCCTCCCTGGGGGGTGATTTCTTGTTTTCTGTCTCTCTGTCCAGCAAGCATATGTGCCCTATAGCAAAAATATCTTTCTCAAAAAAAAAAAATCATATAGCACTTAATAAAACATGCTTTTCATACAGTATTTCATGCAATCAGCACAATATTTATCATTAAAGAAAACCGTGTGGCAGCATCTGTAGTCTCTAAACATATCTCTTTAAGCCAGTTACTCCACTTTTCAGATCATACCATTGAAAAATACTTGCATGTGTGCATAAGAAGATGTGTTCAAGAATACCTCAAGGATCTTTTAATAGCAAAAGATTGAGAGAAAACCCAAGTGGTCACAGTTAGTAAGCAACCAAATAGTGTACATTAAATGCTATATATAACCATTTTCCAAAAGTATTTAGGTGTTAGAGGCCAGCAGGTGGCATGTGGGTTAGGGCACTGGACTCTCACATGACTGAACATGGTTCAGGTCCAGGACCTGGCGACTTGCTTTCTCGCTTTCTCTCTCTCTTGCTCTGTCCCTCTCTGGTCAAATTGAAATAAATAAATAAATAAATGGATAAATGGAGTTAAATAAAATAATTCTTTCTTTTTTTTTTTTAAAGTATATAGGCGTAAGAACCGAAGAGAGAAAAACCTCTAAGGCATATTAAATAAAAAGGCGAGAAACAAAACAACATGCAATATGCCAAGTGTCTTAGATGGTTCAGGCTGTTGTAACAAACAGAATTCTGTACACTGGTGGCTTAAAAACAACAGCAACTGGACTGGCAGGTGGCATGGTGATTAAAGGTGCTGGGCTCCCACATCCCGATTGTGGTTCAAGTCCCAGACCTGGCAGCTTGCTTTCTCATTTTCCCTCTCTCTCTTGCTCACTCTGTCTCTCTCTTGTCAAATTAAAACAAACAAAGTTAAATAAAATAATTCTTTAAAAACATACAGCAATTAAAGGAAAAAAAAAAAGAACAAAAACAGAAATTCATTTCTCACAGTCCTAGAGGCTGGAAGTCTGAGATCAGGATGCCACCATCTTCAGATTCTGGTGGACTCTGCCATCTTCTTGCTATATCCTCTCATATGGTAGAAAGAGGGAGAGGGCTCTCTGGTATCCCTTTCATATAGACACTAATCCCATTCATGAGTTCTCTATCCTCATGAGCTAATTATTTCCCAAAGGTCCCACTTCCTAATACTATCACATTAGGGGTTATAGTTTCAACATACTAAATTTAGATGGCTATAAACATTGAGTCCATTGCTCCATGTATTAGCCAGGGCACATGTGTGTAGTAACCACACACCTTTCATCTATTGGGACACATACCTTGTTGTGTTGGGAAACGGTTGTGCTGAACTATAATATTTACTGCCCTCTAAGTCCCTCAATCCCACTTAGAATCTGAGTTGTTAGGCCCCAGCTCCATTGAAGGAAACCATTAGTTACCTTACGTCTCTCCCATGGGAAATTCAGAGCTTGGTGTAACAATAATCTTCCATTGGGTCATTCTTTCCAACAAATTGAATTCATTGAACTGACTGCATTTTTTGGACAGGTTGGCGATATAAGGTATCAGTCACACTGGCTGGAAAAAAGAAAGTGAGTGGGTACATCAGGATCGCTTTGTACGGAAGTAATGGAAACTCAAAACAATATGAGATTTTCAAGTAAGTTCAATAGTAAGGTGAAACAATCATACTTTCTCAAAAAGATATGATTATTCCTGAAAGATTGGCTCTAATCTACTTGATAAATGTCAGCATCTATTATACAGAACCATTGAATCCTAGGATGTCAGAGCTGGAAAGAAGTCTTAGCATCTACTTCAGTTACATCATTTTACAAATGAAAAGAGTGAGGCAGAGAGAGGAAACTCACTGTTTAAAAGAGTCATGTGCTAATTCTGTTTGGAATGCGAGTCACCAGACTTGGAGTTTAGGAATATCAAGTTCTTGTCAGTTAAGGCACATGTCTACGACCACCCCCTCCTCTCTGACCACTCTCCATCTCCACACACAGAGGAACACAGGAAGCCTGGGGTCAGCTTCCTGTCACTGTGGTAGTCACTGTACTGGCTCTTGCTGTACAAATGCATACCCCGTGTAGTAAATGAGATTCTGTTTTGGTACTTTTTTTTTTTTTTTTTTTGGAGAGGCTTTTGCTATAGGGCACATGCACTCGCCAGAAAGACAGAGAGAGACAAAGAAACAGAAAGCGAGAAATCACACTCCAGGAGGGATGGCCACGCCACAATCCCTTCTCCTCTATTCTCCTCTTGGGATCTTGGGCATGCACACTACCGGGTCCCAGGGTCCCAGACTTGAACTGAGGTCGACTACATGGGAGTCCAGTGACACAGCCATTACGCCAACTGCTGGTCCTGGTACTAGCTTTTATATATTTAACTCAGTGTAATAATTTTCATGTGGAGTTAAATATTTTGGGCCATTCCCTTTGCTACATACGCTATATTAATAAACGGTCTTCGCTAAACCACATACATCTTAAACCTAAGACACTGCATCAGTTGGTCCCATAGCAAACTTAGAGGGTTAAATGTTACCCAAAATATTTTGTTTCTTTCTGGGACAAACTAAAACAATGAAAATCTGGAGCCTATTATGTTTAAAAGGTGCATTCTATATAAATATATTTGCATTTGTGCAGCCCTTGGATGTATTGGGTCACGGGAAAAGTCATGGTGTATTTTTTTTTTAAGAGGTTTTTGCTTTAGGGCATATGTACTCACTGGGAGAGAGAGAGAGACAAGGAGACAGAGACAGAATTAGTGAGTGGGAAAGTGAGAAATCACCCCCGGGGGGGGATGTCCACGCCGCAATCCCTTCTCCTCCATTCTCCTCTCAGGATCTTGGGCACGCACACACACGTGTCTGGTGTGATTTTCAAGCCACCAGGTCCAGGACTCAAACCACAGTTGGCCATATGGGAATCCAGGAGTGTAACTGCTATGCCATTTGCTGACCCTTTTCTATGTTTTTCTATGCAAAAAATGCATCATGACTTTTCCAACGGCCCAGTATATGAAGTTATTGCAGGTATTTGCTGATAACCAACAGCAGCCATTGTTCAGAGAAACAGCAGATTGCTCTCATCCGAAGTATTCATACATCCGGCTGATACAATGTGTTATGTCTATACTTTCAGAGGATCCCTCAAACCAGATGCAAGTCACATGCGTGACATTGATGTGGACCTCAATGTTGGAAAAATTGAGAAAGTTAAATTCCTCTGGAACAATCACGTGATAAATATCCTCCAACCCAAACTGGGAGCTTCTCAAATCACAGTGCAAAGTGGCGAAGATGAGACTGAGTGCGTATCTTTTATCCCAGCTAGTCTAATTATTTGTATTTATGTATCGATTTATCTGAGCATCCATCCATCTAATCACCCACATCATCATCTATGTATCCATCTACCCATCCATTCATCTTCCCATCTCTCCATTCCTGTTTCTGTATACCCACTTCACCACTTACTCATCCACTTACCCACTCACCCCTTCCCCCAGACATCTGTCTCCTCGTCCTTCTGCCCATCCAACCATTCTTTCATCCTCCTCTCCATTCATTCACCTACCCAGCTATTCATTTCAACTCTCTATCTATCCATCCAATTTACTTTGAAAAATCAAATGTCATCTTCTTTAGGCAAAATTTGTATCAGCCGTGGTAAAGCATTGATTTTTTTGAAGGAATAACTTTAAAAAACCAAACAGGCAAATACTAGACTTTAATCTAAAACAATAAGGAAGACACCTAGGAAGTCCCTGGGGTGAAATGTCTGAGTTCATTTCAGTTGGCATGCAGTTATTAATGTAAGTTAGTTTTTATGGGCACCATGGCATAAGAGTTGTATAACCTATGTTGGGAATCTGGCTCCCATGGTAAGCTCTTCTCATTCTGATGGGATGGAATCTTAGTTGGTGGAGGTTGGAAGAGAATGTAACTGTTTTTTTAAATATGGGAAAAAAGGATTCCTCAAAAGAGATCATCAGAAAATAATGGGATGTTAGAGTCTGAGGAATTAAAATGTCATCTCTCAGCTGCTTTCATATTAAGGTGAGGAATGAGAGGTCTGGAGAGTCAAGTAACTTATCTAAGGCCATGTAGAGAAGCTAGAGGGAAAAATATTGGATTTGGAAATGTTTCCAAAAACACTAAGCAAGACCTTGCTCAGCTGCATGGCTGCACTCGCTGGCTGTAAAAATAGTAATAATCCTGATTTGTCAGCATGCTGGAAGGGTTGGATGTCACGATCAACATGCCCTTACTTTATGTACTCAAGAGTGTGACCACCAGAACTGGGACCGGAGTCGTCTGAGGTCCCATCTAGTGTTCTTTCCACTGTGCCCATTGGCTCAGACAGCTAGAGGGGGAGCTAAGGAGTCCAGAAGGTTCTGCAGTGCAGTGCATTGTGGAAATGTTCCATATATAGGTGGGATGGAGGTGGTGTTTTCAAGTGCCATATAAAATCACACACTATACATCCAAAACATCCAAGTGCCCGTCCCCATAGAAGCTCCCCCACTGAGGAGCGACATTCTGCGGCTGAGCCCTGAAGGAAGGCTGAGCCCTGAGGGAAGGCTGCCTTGGCCACACTGTCTACCTTTAGCCAAAGACCCTGACAAGGGAAGGAGGAGGTTGGAAATGCCCTGTATCATAGGGCCTGGAGCTTGTCCCAGCCTCACTAGACCCTAATGCCTCAGGATCAATAATGCTCCATAATCTTTTAACAATTTTATTGAGCTACAATTCACATATGGTAAGGTCTATACCGTTTAAAGTGTATGGTTTTATAGTGTATTCAGAGAATTGTGTAGCCATCATCACAACCAGTTTTAAAACATTTCAGCACAGCGAGAAACGCCGTACCCGTTTGCCATCACCTCCCAATCCTACCAGCCCTTTTCCACCCTACACTTCCACTAATCTGTTTTCAGTCTCCATAGGTTTACCTCTTCTGTACACTTTATATAGATAAAATCACACAGTATGTGAGGGAACTTCAAAACGTTTGTGAAAAAGTGGAATTAAAGTATGAGCCGTAAAAAATGTTTTTGAAATCCATGCCTCGTATCTTCACAATATGCACTTTCCATAAACTTTTTGAAGGCCCTGCATATTGTCCTTTGTGACTGGCTCTTTCCACCTGGAAAAATGTTTTCAAGGTTCATACACGTAGCATGTATCAGTACATCATTCTTTTTCATTGTCAAGTAATATTCTTTTATATGGATATACCACATTGTATTTGTCCATTAATCAGTTGAGGGGCATGTGGATTGTTTCCATGTTGTGGCTATTATGAATAATGCTTTTATGAACATTCATACAAAGTTAGTGTGGACGTGTTCTCCTTTCTTTGGAGTATATGACTAAGTGTGAAACTGCCGGTCATATGGCAACTCTTTGTTTGCCCTTTAGAAAAACTGTAGACTGTTTCCAAAGTTGCTGCCTCATTTTCCATTTCTAGAAGCAACATAGGAGGAACCTTCCAGGATCTTAACAGGGAAAGTCCAGTCTAGGTTACCAAGGGCCCCCCCTGGTCCCTGAAACCTATTGCTAGGCTTGAAGCTCCAGGCCTGCTGGGAGACCACTCAGATTTGTCAAGTCCAACATGGCTGATTGACTGTCAGCCTGTTAAAAGCTGGAAGGGGTGGAGGATGTTCTCTGAGCAGGTTTAATTAGTGAGAAGCACTTGGACTCTTCCTGGTGCAGCAGGGCCTCTCAGCAAGCAGGAACTGAGTCCCAGGGGCTGGCTGAATGCTCTTCACTCACCTGAAGTCACATTTTCCCCAGGTAAAAGAGCCTCACACGGACAATGTTTTCTTCCACAGGTATCGTTTTTGCAGCAGCGACACTGTGCGAGAAGATGTTTTACAGTCTCTTTACCCTTGTTAAAAATGTGTATGGCTCTTGGGACCAGCAGTTAGTGTAATGGCTACATCGCTGGACTCCCATGTAGTCGACCACAGTTCGAGTCCCGGACCCGGTGGCTTAAACTCACGCTGGGTGCTTGTGAGTTCGTGCCCAAGATCCTGAGAGGCAAGTGGAGGAGAAGTGATTGCGGCATGGCCATCCCCCCGGGGGAGTGATTTCTTGCTTTCTGTCTCTCTGTCTCTCTCTGTCTGTCTGGCGAGCGCATGCGCCCTATAGCAAAAACCTCTCCAAAAAAAAAAAAATGTGTATGGCTCTTGTCTCTTTGTAATAATAAATTTTTAAATGCAGAATGTTTGAGGTTGAGGTGTTAGTTCGGCATTCTCCACGTTCTGGGCTCACATCTGGGAAATGATCATTGAGATGGGGGCCAAGCTGGCCACAGGTGATGTGTGGAACCTCCACCCACCCACTTCCATCACCATCTCTCTCTTTCAGAGCACTTTATGTGAGCTCTTCTAGTGTGTGTTATTATTTTATGCAGTGAGATTACATTCTATTTGAAAAGGTTGTTGTTCCTATCATATGCTGACCACCCAGTTTTAAATATCCTATGGAGATAGTGGGGGCGGAGTGAGTGGGAGGGACACGGTGACTTGAGTACTTCCAAATGATTATGATTTAGGTTAAAATCCATCTGTGGGGGGAACCAGCAATTAGCGTAATGTCTATGTCGCTGGACTCCCACGTAGTCGACCACGGTTCGCGTCCTGGACCCGGTGGCTTAAAACTCACGCTGGGTACATGTGCGTGCGTGCCCAAGATCCCGAGAGGAGAATGGAGAAGGGATTGCAGCGTGACCATCCCCCCTGGGGGGTGATTTCTCGCTTTCTGTCTCTCCGTCTCTGTCTGTCTGGTGAGCGCATGCGCCCTATAGTGAAAATCTCTCCAAAAAAAAAAATCCATCTGTGGGCACCAGCAGGTGGTCTAAAGGTTATGTCATTGGACTTCCACAGAGTCGACCATGGTTGGAGTCCCTGACCTGGCAGCTTAAAAACTCACACTGGGTGTGTGTGCGTGAATGCCCAAAAATCCCAAGAGGACAGTGGAGGAGAAGGGACTGCCACGTGGCCATCCCCCTGGGGGATGATTTCTTGCTTTCTGTCTGTCTCCAGTGAGCACATGTGCTCTATAGCAAAAATCTCTCTTAAAAAAAAAATCCACCTGTGACATGGAGAAAGAGAGCTTTCTAAAAATGTCCCATGTATCCACATGGCACTAAATTTGAATGATATAGAAGAATATTCTTATAAAAGGAGAGGCTCTTCCCAACCTTGCCTTCAAGTCTCTCAGCTCTTCCTTTAATGGGATTTTCTCCAGCAGTATTCTACATGTACACAGGCACATCTCACGGTATCTATCCCTCACACCTCAACCCCACGCCACCTTGTTTGCCCAAGTACAAACAGTGGCATGTACACTGCTCTGCATCTTGCCTTTTTCATTCACAATCAAGTGGATATTATTCTCTAATGATACAGAAGGAGCTGCTTCATTCTTCCTGTGGCTTCACAGATTCCACTGAGAGATGTACATAGCATGTGGTCAGACCTGCTAATGGACAGAGGAGGTTTCCAAAATTTTTTAATTGTACATATTCGTGCAATTAATATATTTTTATATCTCCTGTACTTTGCATATTTGTCCAATAAATGTTGAAGATATATTTTTACCCATATGGCCAAACTGCCCTTTATAACAATTGTGCCAATTATACACTCCAACAAACCACACAATAGATAAAACCATATGAAATTGTCACTTTCACAAGCCAATAAAGTCAAAATACTGGCAATTTCATGTGCTTCATTCTTTTTTATTTATTTAAAAATGTTTTAATTCATGATACAGCACTCACGGGTGTAAGTGTGTGTGTGTGTGTGCGGGGGTGAGCACCCTCCACAGCATCTGGTCATGCTGTGACCCCCTTGCTCCAGTCCTGCAGCCCATTGGATCTTGGGCACTTGTGCCTGCCCAGTGTGCTTCAGGCCAGCGACGGGAATCACAGTTGTCATGTGGGATCAGGCTGGTCTTGAGCCTGATTACCTTTGTGCCATGGGACCAGCCCTCATACGGTCTATTTAAATATGAGAGCACATCACACCCTCACCAGCATGGATTGTCAAATTTTGGGCCAATCTGACAGGTAGAAGTGCTTATCTTTAAATTGTAATTTGCATATATTTTATTATGAATGAGGGTGAATATCTTACTCAGTGTTTGATGGTTATGCTTCTTTCTCTATGACTTGTCCAATATTTTGCTAATCACAGGCATCTTTATGTATTTATATATACATATATATACATATATATCTGTGTGTGTGTATATATATATGTATATAGTTTTTTAAGCTAGTGTGATGTGCGCGGGGGTGATCCCCCTCCACAGCATCTGGTCATGCTGTGACCCCCTTGCTCCAGTCCTGCAGCCCATTGGATCTTGGGCACTTGTGACTGCCCAGTGTGCTTCAGGCCAGCGACGGGAATCACAGTTGTCATGTGGGATCAGGCTGGTCTTGAGCCTGATTACCTTTGTGCCATGGGACCAGCCCTCATACGGTCTATTTAAATATGAGAGCACATCACACCCTCACCAGCATGGATTGTCAAATTTTGGGCCAATCTGACAGGTAGAAGTGCTTATCTTTAAATTGTAATTTGCATATATTTTATTATGAATGAGGGTGAATATCTTACTCAGTGTTTGATGGTTATGCTTCTTTCTCTATGACTTGTCCAATATTTTGCTAATCACAGGCATCTTTATGTATTTATATATACATATATATACATATATATCTGTGTGTGTGTATATATATATGTATATAGTTTTTTAAGCTAGAGTTTTGCTATAGGATGAGACAGAGAGACAGAAAGAGAGAAATCACCTCCCGGGGGGATGGCCATGCCACGATCCCTTCTTCATTCTCCTCTTAGGATCTTGAGCACACATGCACACATGCCTGGCATGAGTTTTAAGCCACTGGGTCCAGCACTCTAACTTGCAGTTGACTGTGTGGGAGTCCAGCGATGTAACCATTATGCCACCTGCTGGTCCTAATCACAGGCATCTTTAAATATAATTTCTAAAGAGTTAATACTAAAATTGGAATGTTCTGCAATATGCAAGTATTTTCTCGATTGATCCTACGCCATGGTAGACATGGAAAGTCAGTAGAAAGGCCTGGGGCAGCTGTCCCTGGGGGCCACATGTGACTTGCCTTGCCCCAGTTCATACCCAGAGGGTTCTGCTGGTGCCATAGCCCCAGAAGCTTCCAACCATTGGAACCCACACCTGGTCAGGGCCAGGTGAGGCAGGCAGGCCCTGGTTTCCAGCTTTCCCTCCTCAGCTAGACAATGGCCTCAGCTTGTGTGTTTTCTCTCTAGGCTGTGTCCAGCCTTGGGGGACCTGGCACCTCCTCAGTATGGGACAGCCTTGACTGTGTCTTTTGTTTTGTTTTGTTGTAGAGGTTTTTTTCCTATAGGGCGTGTGCGCTCGCCACAAAGACAGAGAGAGACGGAGAGACAGAAAGCAAGAAATCACCCCCGGGAAGATGGCCACGCCACAATCCCTTCTCCTCCATTCTCCTCTCAGGATCTTGGGCACACATGCACACATGTCTGGCATGAGTTTAAGCCACTGGGCCACCGGGTCTGGGACTTGAACCGTGGTTGACTACATAGGAGTCCAGTGACATAGCCATTACGCTAACTGTTCTTCCCAGCCTTGCCTGTGTGTATGCAGCCATTCCAGCCCACCTCCTGCCCCCACACAGCCTCCCACTGGCTCCTGGCAGAACTGCCCACTCTCTCCTGGCATCCCTCAGTGAATAAATGGGCTGGTGCCAGGTAGGGAATGTCATTTTTCAGGGCTCAGGGAGTGGTCGTATAGTGTGCACTTGTTGGGCCAGGGTGGGAGGATTCACTGTTCAATTCTTGCCATCCAGAAATGGTTGCGCTTAACAGATTCTGAGAATGGTGGAAGGCTAGCGGTGGCTGGTTCTTGAAAAGCGTTACTTGCCTGTGATTCATCCACGGAGACTTGGAGAATGAGGGTAAAAGCTTTCTCTTCCCTTCACTGGGAGGCCTCTCATCCATATTAGAACTAACTTCTGTATCTTGGGATTTTTGCTTCATTCTCCTTTTTCCTTTTCTTTTTATTTTCTAAATGATTTTTCTTGAAGCCCTGTGGACAGAGCATTTAAAATCTTACCCTGGAGTAATGAGGTAAGTCCTTGTCTGAGACCTGTCAGATGTTTCGGATCTCAGTTAAACTCCGAACTACAGGACAGACATCTTCAGCCCTGGCTGCATATTAGAAATACTCTGAAGCTGGATGAGGCTTATGATATTTTGTAGCTGAAAGATTTTGAAGGCCCTGTGGCTAGTGAAAGGTGATTGGCAGGTTTCTCTCACCGATGCCCCCAGGGTGCTCCCACCCCTGTCTATATTTGGGTTTGAATCCTGGTTTATCCCGAGAAACGCAGCAAGAGCCTCCCTCTTTTCTCACGAGGACTGTGTCTACCACACTGAAAGTCCCCACCTCCAGTTTCTGACAGTCTCACCACGTATCCCTCATGGCAACTGTCATTCCTGTCCCAAATGGCACCTACTGCTGAGGACCAAACCAGGACCTGGACGGCACTGTGCTGGAGCCAGCCAGAACCGTGTATGGCTGTCTTTCATAGCATTAACCTGCCCAGGCACGAACCACGTCATTCCACAAAGATCTTAGACTCCAAGACGCTAACAGGAACAAAGATGTTCACAAGCTCTCGTTGAGAATAAGGCACCTTCATCTTGTCCTCTCAGCCTCTCTAGGGAGGGAAGAAAAAAAATGAATACTTTACAAAGCTATTTCATAAAATGTTATGTTAAATGAACAACAAATTACGTTTTCCTTTACTAGCTTTTAATGCTAATAGTGCCATTTATTCCTGACCTTCAGAAATGTGAGATATTTTAAATGACAGCATAAAAGTGTTCTTGTTTGAAAACCAAGCTACTTTAGGCTGCACGTTAGTACTTCTAAGTACAGCGCGTGCCGGCG